GCAAGAAAAAGATAAATGAAACTATATAAACAAATGGAACGAACAACAAAACACAAATCTTGAAAAAAACATCCAATGCTGTTTTTGTCAGTACAGTTTTATGGTGCACGGGTGATGACCTGTGAAAACTCAGCCCAGCAGGTCTGTTGTGCATATAACAACTAAACGAAATGAAACATGTTTTTAAACAGTAACAATAATGTTGCCAAGGATGATGAATGACGTTCGCTCAAAATATCACAAAGCTGCCACCTGCTGGTGAAGAGCGGGACGTCTCTAATTATTGTTCCCCCAATTAAACCAGTTTTAAAAAGTTACATAACAGATCCATTCATGCAAACACGAATAATGATCAATTTAACAGCTGTCTATAAAATCTTAATTGTGTGAGTCTCAGCATCATCTATGTTCAGGACTGAATTTTGAGCGCGCTACGCAGAAGCCGCCCACTTTCCTCAAGCGTGTCCAATAGTGTCTCTAGAGAGTCATGAGGTTTATTTTAATGACCTTTGCTTGACTTTTCCACCAATTTACAGGTGTGCCATCACAGGTGGACAGCGACATGGAGGGACAGCAGCTACAGCAGGTGAGCGAGTTTATTTACAGTTAATACTTACAAACAACATACTTGTTGTGCCAAAACTTTGCGCAGTAAGAATTTTGACGCAAGATGAGTTTATTCCCGTGTCATCACAGTTTGACGTTTGAGAGCACTTCAGCTCATCGATATAACATGGCAAGCATTACCTCACCTCTCTGATTTGATTGCTGGCAGGTTTTGAACCCGCAGAGACTGAAGTCACTGCAAGAATGGCTGCAGAAAAACTCAATCACTTTAACACAGGTCAATGGGCAGAGGAAATATGGTGGTCCTCCTCCGGGTAAGAACTGAACTGAGATCAGCCCTTTGCAATTCAAACACGACCTGTGGCATTTCAAGCTCACTTATGTCTCATAGCATGAGACTGAAGTATGATGTAGTTATAAATGGCCTCACATTTTCCTTCATAGCATTAAGTAGAGCAGAAACAGGTTGTTTATATGCTCCGTTAGAGGTTTAAGAACGAATCTTCATCATTTTGGGTTCAAAACAGCTTGTCATGTGGGACTGATACATTGGAGTTATCTTATTAAAGTCTGAACCATGCCTCTTTTGTGCTTTGCCTTCACCTCCCATTAAAGCATGGACACCTGGAGCTCAATTAGGCTGCAAGTCCTCATTGCTGCTCAATTATTGCCGATTGGATGGTTTTAGATTATTGCTTGATGAAAATGATTGGTTCAAGATCACTTTTAAAGTAAAATTGGTAGATTATTGAATTAAAATTCTAATGTGTTGATCACTTTAGATGTATATAACTTGAATAAATTAGACACCAAGTGTAATATCTGTGTTTTAGTTGTCAAACTTTTAACTACAGTAATATTATTCATATTGGGGTTAACTGTAAAATGCCTTTTATGTTTTATATGTATCAAAGATCATGAGTGCATAGATGGTAACTCCTTTTGTAGTTTTTGCTCAATTAGTACATCTAATTTACAGCTTTGATCTGAGTCTCTGATCAGTGTTTATTATGTGATGTTTTCATCAGTTTTTCAGAGTATAATTACACTTTTAAAGGATCATTATCCTGAGGAATTGCATTTGCCTTGATCTTGATATCTAAAAGAGCTTAAAGTGCTATGAAATAAATCTCAAAATATATGTTTTATAAAGTCAGATCTTGACAGTTTGAGCATTTTAGTGTCTGTGATGGTCATAATTTATTAAGAGATGTTTTTATCACAATTTGACCACTAGTCGACATGAATTCATGAAGCTTTGAAGTTACAGCTAACCAGGTTTTATTTATTTATTTGTTTTTATTTTTAAAGCACTTTCAAAAAGTGTATTTTGGCAAAAGTGTGTGTGTGTGTGTGTGTGTATATATATATATATATATATATATATATATATATATACACTGTATGTGTGTATAAATGAAGCATAACTTCAAGTCTAAGTATTGTTGCGTATGTGTGTGTGTGTGTGTATATATATATATGTATGTGTATGTAAATCTCTCTCATACTATTATCAAATTTGTTTCAACATGAAGTATTTTTGAAATCTAATCCCAGTCACTTTTGTTTTTGATCACACATTAATGAACACTCCTTTTGACTTCGGTTTCTTTTTTTTCTTTCTCCAGTCTGGCAAGGTCCTGCTCCCGGCCCGGGCTGTGAGGTTTTCATCAGTCAGATACCACGTGACATCTATGAGGACCGCCTGATCCCTCTTTTCCAGAGCATTGGCACTATTTACGAGTTTCGTCTCATGATGAACTTCAGCGGGCAGAACCGAGGCTTCGCCTATGCAAAGTACGGTGACCCGGTCACCGCGTCTGCTGCCGTCATGACCCTGCATCACTATCGTCTGCCGGAGGGGGGCTGCCTGACGGTGCGCAAGAGCACGGAGAAGCGGCAGCTGCGTCTGGGGGATCTTCCAAATAGCACAAATCAGGGGGAGTTGCTGACGGTGCTGCGAATGCTCTCTGATGGGGTGGAGGATGTCCTGCTGAAGATGGTCGGGCCCAAAGGGAGAGAGGTTGTGGCTCTTGTGAACTACTCCTCCCACTATGCCGCATCCATGGCCAAGAAAGTGCTCGTGCAAGGTATCTATCTATCTGTTTCTTTTTTCTGCACATTAAACTGAAGTAAGAGAAAGTATTGTAAAATGCAACAAATTGTCACCGTTAATTAAGAACATTGATCTTTTAAGCTGTTTGTTTTTTTTTTCTTGTCTTTTTTTAATTTTATTTTAGCTTTTAGGAAGCGGTACGGCATTTCAATTACTGTGAAATGGATGTCGTTCTCCAAGTCCAAGCATGTCGCAGAGAATGGACAAGACGACGACTGCTTTACTCCACCTGCTCTGAATCCCCTCCCCAAACCCTCCATGATGTCCTGCTGAAGATGGTCGGGCCCAAAGGGAGAGAGGTTGTGGCTCTTGTGAACTACTCCTCCCACTATGCCGCATCCATGGCCAAGAAAGTGCTCGTGCAAGGTATCTATCTATCTGTTTCTTTTTTCTGCACATTAAACTGAAGTAAGAGAAAGTATTGTAAAATGCAACAAATTATGTCACCGTTAATTAAGAACATTGATCTTTTAAGCTGTTTGTTTTTTTTTTTCTTGTCTTTTTTTTATTTTATTTTAGCTTTTAGGAAGCGGTACGGCATTTCAATTACTGTGAAATGGATGTCGTTCTCCAAGTCCAAGCATGTCGCAGAGAATGGACAAGATGACGACTGCTTTACTCCACCTGCTCTGAATCCCCTCCCCAAACCCTCCATCACCCCTCCCCACCTGCACCCTCAGCCCTTGCTTCATGATGTCCCATCCCATCCCCTTATCCAGCCCTTCTTCCGGGCCGTGGGGGGTCCGGCCGGCCTGAGAGATGAGATGATGCCTCAAGCACCCGTGAACCACGATGCCGTGTCTCAGCTGCAGTGGATATGCGAGCTGTACAGACTTGGCACTCCACAGTATGAAGTCCGTTTCCATCGCACCAGCTCCGACGGCTTCCTCTGCTTCATCTTCAAAATTTTGATCCCAGGCCTTCTTTTTCCCCTGTGCGGGTTTATCCGGATCCTTCCAGGCACCAGCATTCAAGCCATGAAGGCGGAAGTTTATCGAGCCGCCGCTGAGCAGGCGATCCAAACCATGTGTAAAGTCTCAAATTTGCGACCTTTCTAAAAATTGAGCTGCTGTTGTTAATGTAATGTGAAGTTATCAGTTTTACGTTCAGTATTACGGTTTGAAGGCATGTACTCTTCCAGTTTCAGATGAGTAAGTGGAAATGAATGATTAAACAAGTATTTAGTTTAATGTTAAAGGGAAAAAAAGCCAATCTAGGCAGTGAATTTCTTTTAATTTTACAAGCTCTTTAATTCAGTGGTATGAAGGAGTTTTGAAGTATTATGTTCTCGTTGGTATAATGTTTTATAATATTTTAACTATGTAATATTAATCATTTATTTTAGTCAGCCTCATCACATTTGGATGACTGCCTGTTTTCACGACTTATTTTGAGTGTTTTTCCACTGTATTTTACTTTTCACGATTTATTTTGAGTGTTTGTCACGTTTGTTGACTTTGCATGGTGTGCTCGTTTCCTTGTTTGATGGGTTGTACTGATTATAAATGACTTTTGTACAGTAAATAAGTTCTCGTGTATGCTATTGTTCAAATCCCTAATTATTACTTGGATAAGAAGTTGCGGTAATTTAAAACGCCCTAACACAAGTAATAAACTTTGATGCAGAAAATTGCTACAGATATGAATGGTACCTCAAGCCACATGGGTTAAGGAGCGATATCATCTTCATCAGTCATCTTTGAAAAATTGTATTTTTATATATCAATATGATTATAAAATAATCACTACTTATTTTTATGAAAACTGATTAATCTGTATGAAATTGAATACTGTAAAGCAAAAAATATAAGTTACAGCAGTAAAATGTAAATATTCTTATTTATGGCCATCTTAAATATTAAAATATTAATGTAAATTTTTAATACTGTAAAATTACAATACTTATAGCTGTCTCAAAATAATTACCATTGTAAAATTGCAATACTAATGTCTAAGAAATATTAGTCAATTTTCCCTATAAAATAAACTATTTAAAAATAATTTTATTTAACAGACAATTACAATACTAATATTTATAGCGGTCTTAAAGAAAGTCACATAGAATGTTGAGAAAACGTAAAAGTAATCTTGCATGTGGCATTAAAACAGATATGACTGACACATTAAGACAAGACTAAATATCTTAGTTACTCATTTATTAATAGATCTGACGTAATCCAAGCACATTTTAAAAGGGCAGGCAATGAGTTGAATATGTTTGCTCAATGTACATGTTTGACAACTGGCACACAATTGTAACTGGCGTTTGGTAAGTGGGTCCACTGTCCTCCTCTGTCTATATGGTGACTGTTTTTAAGACTACAAGGTCCGTTTCTTGATCTCATCCACCAGATCCGCTCTGGGCACATCAACCTACAGGAAACCAGACAAAATTTTTTTTTTTTTAATCCGACTCCAAAAGATAGAGGTATAAACATGTAAAACTATTTATTTTCAAGATGAATATACATGCAAAACAAGATTGTGACACAAATGTAGCCTGTTTAATGCATAAAACTGTTTTATACTCAGTTAAAATATTTTGTGAATGGCATGACGTTGTAAACGTTTTTACCTCTTCTCGGCTTACTACGTTGCGCAGTTTGACAACTCCGTCTTTGAGTTCTTGTTCTCCTAAAATGGCCACCAGTGGAATCCCAGTTTCCTCACAGTGCTGCAGTTGGCTCAACAGCTTTGGGTTTTTCTTATATAAAACTTCAGCCTACAGCACATAACACATAGTTCAGAGTCAGAGATCCACAATCCAACTCCAAATTCATTTTGTTTTTTCTTGATACGATATTCAAGCAAATACAAACCTTGATTCCCTCATTCCAAAGCGCATTGGTCAGTTTGAGTCGCTCTTCTAGAAGGTTCTTCTGCGCTGAAGCCACCAGCACTTGAGTTTCAGTGGTGCGCACCTTCTCTGAAGATGCCTGGAGGAGATGGGATCATTCCATATTTGTATTTAAATACCTTTCATATTAAAATACAGTGCCACCATTCTAAAAATTTACTTAATTACAAAATTAAATGTAAATGCATTTAAAATGCATTCAAAAATTAACTCCTTCTCAAGCACCCCATTTTGGCATGGGAACATAAATGGCATACCCCAAAAAAAAGGTTGCTGCTCATGAGTCTTTCTGACTAGATACATAACCAACTTATAGTTACAAAGCTGACACTTGAAAGTTTACCGTTCGAGACACAGAATTACTCAGACTGTTATGAATATGGAGATATATAAGCTAAAACATAAACACAAAAATAAGAATATGTGGCTGTGGTAAATGATTTTAGAAACACAATGAAGCTGAAGCCACAAATCTGCTCATGCTTCATTTCAAATTTGAGGACGTTATCTCTAAAACTGCATTTTATGAAACATTTTCTAAGACTATGTCGTGTGTCATTAGAGAAGGCTAATAAAATAATTTATTGTAAGCGCCCCTGCATGCTATTGTCTGATGTCTGGCCCCGCAAACTGCCCCATTCATGTTTCTATTGTTCTCACTCCAAGAAACTTTCACATCTCTGCCAGGTATGAGACGTAATCCTCATTTTTCTTTATTCAGCCATAATTAGCCTAATTCATTAATTAAATATTTAAAACAAAACATTAATATTCACTGTTTTTTTCATATTATATTTAAATGTAAAACAATATTGTATAACGCAAGCTTCCCAAACACTATTATACAGACTATCATTATACACCCCTAAACCTACCCCTCTTTCTCTTACTCACCTCGGCCTTCTGCTCCATGATGGAAAAGATTCTCTCAATCCCAATGCTGACACCCACACAGGGCACTTTCCTGCCCTTGGGGTCAAACATGCCCACCAGACCATCGTATCGCCCTCCGCCGGCCACACTGCCAACGCTTACACCAGCTTCATCTGCCCCGTTCTGCTCTGCAGGTGTGGACACCAGTGCTGGGATGGTCTGGGAGAGAATCGCTTCATAAATCACACCAGTGTAGTAGTCCAGTCCTCGAGCCAGACTCAAATCAAACACCACCTAGAGAGAGAGAAAAATAAAAAAATTAATGAGGGCAAACGAAATGAACAAGATCGCTGATGCAGAGTGTGAATGGGTGTGAAAAATGAAATAATGAACATGAAATTATAACTGCATTTACTGAAATGAAACACCCTTGTAATAAATTTTATAGGGTGTGTATTTCTTATCTAATGGGTCATAAAATGTAAGGAAGATGCATGAGGAACATAAAAAAATAATCAGGTGTGAAGTGATACAGCATCAGCAAGTTAATTTAGAGTTTTTGTTCTAACTAGCTGGATTTAAGTCAGTTTGGTTACAAGTTGTCACATCAAGCTGCGTAGCTCCACCCACAGTGAAATCTCATTGGTCCAAAATACTGCTCTACATTACACAATTGACTATGCTCTGATTGGCTGAAAATCTGTTTCAAATATCATCAAATAATCTTCATTTGTGTGTGTGTGTGTTTTTTTAGAAAACACTAATACAATATAATGCCCATACTATGCAAGTAAGAAAAGATAAATGCATTTATTTTGATTGATAAATATTCAATTAGATAAGACTGCAGAGTAGAAGAATTTTCACTACAACCTTTTGTTCAGTATTAAGATGAATCTTTGCAAATCGCCTTTCCTAATATGTGCTAGTTAGCAAGTTCCGCGGCTGAAGTTTACAGTCTGCTCATCACCACACGGAAAAGAGGGGCGGGATCAGCAGAGCTTATTAGCATTTAAAGCAACACAGACTAGAACGGCATGCTGAAAACAGACCTGATTTTGACGGTATAAAGGGTGTTTTTTACACTATCATTGAGAAATTTGAACCAAAGTATGTCATAGGCTTTTCATTAAGACCCTAAAGAATCATATCAACTTGTGGAAAATGGGCATCCGATGAACCCTTTAAATTACGACCATAATATTTTCTAACTAGAAATGACATCAAAAGTGGACAAAGTTGGTCAAAAATGTACATTTGCACACAAACGTCATCTTTTAGATGCCATCTCTACTTTCTAGCTCAACAGTCACAGAATGGAATGGAGAGGATAGTGGGATATCTTACGCAGTGATGGATACATCTACGCTGCCTTCAAAAATCAATCAGATGAAGGCATCACAGCAGACAGGATGTGACACAATCATTGGATTATGACGTGCCTTGTTACCTTCCAGCCTCAGCATGCTTCAGCTTTCAGATGCAGCCCACAACACTGAAAATTTCTCATGTTGACCAGCAACCAACCTTAATACGAAAATCTCCAAGATCTAATTCGTTCAGGATCTCGTAGACAATTTTCAGACACTCGGCATCAGGGATCATGGCATCGTACTGACCTGCAATATCGAAATCCTGCAGCCACAAGAACAAGGTTTAGATTCAAATTTAGATAAATAAAAATTAATAATAACAATGACATGTCTATTACTACAATTACTAGTAGTAATAATAATAATAGCTAATTTTACTGGGGTCATTTTACTTTTAGAGGTACTTACACACTGGTAGAACTCCCTGTAACGGCCTCGGGTCATGGCTGGGTTGTCTCTGCGGTACACTTTAGCAATGTGGTAGCGCTTAATGTTGGTGATTTTATTCATTGCGAGATAGCGAGCAAATGGGACCTGAGGAGAGAAGAGTCAAGGAGCCAAATGCAACAGGACTGTTGAGTCTTCAAAAAAATGTTATGCAATTATGGTGAGATGTACATGTGCATTTGGCTATACGTTAGTGATTTTAGGCACAACCCAAAATGGCTTTTACAGCAATAATAAATACCCACCAATCTCCAATAAATGTAATTTTATGAATTGATTCATTAAAAAATAATTAATTAATATAAACACATTTTTAAAACAGCTATGTGTCTGCAAAATGATTCAATATAAGATCAATAAAAGCATGTCTGATGGATACAGTGAGGTCATATCTCAGAGACAGAAGTTCTCCTCCCTGGTCCTTCAGATCGTAGATGAGCTTGGAGTCTTCGCCGTACTTCCCTGTCAATGTTTCCTACAGAAACGCAAACAAACAGGGTCATTACAGTGAATTAATGCAAGTATGTGATGCACAAACTAATGTGTAACAGCTCAAGAGACCTTCAGCTCAAAGACAGGGGTATCGATGGTTTCAGCACCGTGGCGTTTAAAGCAGCTAATGATGATGTTGAAAACCTTTTCTCTGATAGCCATCTGCTTGGGGTTATAGTCCCTGGTCCCCTATAGAGAGGAAATGAGAGATATAATACAGTAGCTCACTGCAAAATGGCTCACTTCAAACAAACCTGTGCATCTAAAATGTCAGTTTTTGTTATACCTTGGCTGTTTTGAGAACAAACACATGTTTTCCCTCATCTCCTCCCAGCTGAGCTTTGAGCTGCAGCAGTTTGGCCACTTCTTCATCAATCTAAAAACAAACAGTAGAAACAGATTTTATCTTCAGCACACTGAAAATGCAGAAAATGCTTTAGGGTGAATCATGAAATTGTCAAGAAAATTTCTAGACCATATTTTACCCCAAAATTAAAAAGGACCCCATTTTGCAGATTTATTTTTCCCCTGTTCTATTTTTTTCCCCTGAAAATGTAATATTTTTACACCAATTCTCATTCTTGTCATTCAAAACACCTCAATACATTATGTTTGTATTTGCTGTTTTGAATTACAATTAAATGCTGATTTTTTTTTTATTATTTTGTACAAATAAGAATTTTCACTTCTGTCTGCATTAAGGAAATTAAAATTATGGGGGGGGTGAAAAAAAAAGTTTTCAAGTGACCTGTTATTTTCTCAGCCTTTTATTACAATTTAATAACTGTTTTCTATTTTGATATATTTGTAAAATGTAATTTCTTCCTGTGATGCAAAGCTGAATTTACAGCAACCATCACTTCAGTGTCACATGATCCTTCAGAAATCTTTCTAATATGCTGATTTCCTGCTCAATAATTTTTCTTATTGTTGAAACTTGATGTTTAAGAAATTTGTCTTACTATTATCAATGCTGTCAACAGTTGTGCTGCTTAATATTTAAAAAAAAAAAACATTATACAACTTTTCAGCATTATTTGATTAACAGAAAGTTCAAAAGAACAACTTTATTTGAAAAAGAAATAATTTGTAAAATTATGTATTTACTGCTACTTTTAAGCAAATTAATACATCCTTTTTGAATAAAAGTATTAAAAAAATGTTATTACTAACCCCAAACAGCACTGTATAAATAGTAAGAATGACATATATTTTCCTTTACTTTGAAGTGAAATGTGACCTGCTATTTTCTCACCCTTTTAGTACATTTATTTTTGTTCTTCAATAAGTTCTGTATGGTTTTGAATGGGGAAACAGGAGGTGAGCAGACAACAGGCACCATGTAAAGCTAAAAGACATAAGATAAGCAGTGACTGAAATGAAAAGGTACCTGTGATAAAGTCATTCCAGAAGAGAAGCGCAGAGATGACAGGTTCACAGCAGACCGACGGCACATGAGTCCAGCACACAGCCGCGTGGAGACCAGCCCCAGAGCATTCATTATGCACGGTCCAAACACACACACCAAAATCACAGTCCCATACAGTTCAAAAGCAGGTGAACCATCCGATCCCACAAGCAGCAAGGATAATCCAGGTGTGCAGTGGTATCCGTATCAACAAGCAGGAAGAACAGGAGAAAAGTGGTGAGCAACCCTGTCACTAGGTGCCCATAAGAGAGGCATCACAGCAACAAGGAAGCAAAACATGAGAGGAGGCCATCAAAATCAACCAGCATCCCTAAACGGAGTTAGAATCACGCCACACTTCTTAGATGAACACATGCTCTTTTTACCACCCCATGAAATATAAAGCCCTCACATATTCATCTCATACACTTGTCATGGGTCTTGTTTCATATTTTTATTTGTCATATTTTGTAGATGTGTGTTACAGACATACTTCAGTGCAATGATGAGTCTCATTTTCAATTCACTGATCACGTGATTTATCACTGGACACTCAATAGCTTCACATTTTCATTCTACAGCAATCACTATAACTGAATGCATTTCATAACATCCACTGGTCAGTACAGATTTATTTACCCATCCACATACAGTAATGATGTCCACCATGACTGACAGATTGCATCAGCTGGCTAACAGCTAGCATCATGCCGCATGTCTAATATAGAATAACATTCATTAAATAACAGATAATGGCATTGGAGTCCATTAAAACTACTAAAAGAGATCATAACCTGTCATGCAGACGATAAGTAAATATGTATGATCTCCCGTTTTCTTATTTAAAAACTGGCAGCCATTGATCTCACCGTGTGTTCCGTCATTAAGCTTTGAAACGCATCAGATCTCATACCAACCTGTTCTTTGCTCGCTTTCTCTGATTTCAGTTTCCTGACGACCTCTCCTTGTGTTTTAATCGCCTCCTGTAGCTGTGCTTTATCGGCCATGGTGCCCCAGAGAGCCGATGATGAACCTGGGGCTTCGACTGAACTGCAGCTGCTGCGGGCGCACACGTTAGACGTCACTGCGCTTGCTCAGATGAACGCTAGGGGCGCTAAGAAATCATGTTGTTGTTGTTGTTAGTTCGTTTTATGGCCCCATAACCCTTCTTAATAATGATTATAAGATTTTAACTCATATTTATGCTAACAGAGATCTCATACTAACCTGTTCTTTACTCGTTTTCTCTGATTTCAGTTTCCTGACGACCTCTCCTTGTGTTTTAATCGCCTCCTGTAGCTGTGCTTTATCGGCCATGGTGCCCCAGAGAGCCGATGATGAACCTGGGGCTTCGACTGAACTGCAGCTGCTGCGGGCGCACACGTTAGACGTCACTGCGCTTGCTCAGATGAACGCTAGGGGCGCTAAGAAATCATGTTGTTGTTGTTGTTGTTGTTAGTTCGTTTTATGGCCCCATAACCCTTCTAAATAATGATTATAAGATTTTAACTCATATTTATGCTAACAGATTAAAAACCGGAGTTTCACAGATTATTTCAGAGACACAGTCAGGTTTTTTGAAAGGCCGCTCAATTCATAATAATATACGACTTGTGCTTGATTTACTGGATTATAATTATTTAATTGAAGATGGTTTCATTTTATTTCTAGACTTTTGTAAAGCTTTTGACACTATCGAACACAAATTTATGTTTCGTACCTTAGAATTATTTGGTTTTGGAGAAAATTGTATTAATCTAGTTAAATTAATTTATAAAGACACAAATAGCACAGTTATATTACCACATGGTATATCTCCAAGATTCTCAATTGACAAAGGAATCAAACAAGGTTGCCCCATCTCTCCCCTGCTCTTTACTGCTGCTGCAGAAATGCTCTCCATTCTTACAAAGAATTCAAATTTTGAAAAATTGACAGTATTTGGCAAACAGTTAGACATCAGCCAATTGGCAGATGACACAGCCGTATTCATGAAAAACATTGAGAAAAGGAATGTTGGTCAAAGAATATGAAGAAGGAGGACTAAAAGTCCTTGACATTGAATGTATTAATGGTACAATTAAAACAAATTGGCTAAAATCCTTTTTGAAAAATGAAAATAGTTTTTGGTTTCATATCCCCAGCCAAATATTTATGAAATTAGGAGGTATCCATTTTTTCCTTAGATGTGATTATGACCTTAAAAAACTCCCTGTTAAGTTATCAGTGTTTCATCAACAGGTTTTACTTTATTGGAAAATGATCTATAAGCATAATTTTAGTCCCCATAATGTCCCTTTATGGAACTGTAGATATGTTGTATTTAGGAACAAATCCTTATTCTACAAAAACTGGTGGGAGAAAGGAATATGGTCTGTCATGCAAATCTTGGATAATACCAGAGTAATGTCTTTTGAAACTTTTAGCTTCAAATTTAATTTATTTGACAGAAAACAATATGATAACATCATCAACGCTATCCCACAATCTATAATTCAGATGTCTTGTAATTTATCTCAAAATAATGTAACACCTTGTCTTCCTCAGCTTTTGGTGAATGGAGTTTCTATTACTAACATAAATTTATCCAATACTGTAATCCAGAATAATTTTGTTAGTGAGCTATATGATGATAATGAGCCTTTGAAGGATTTTTTTTTTCAATAAAGATGATAAAAATATATTATTATTGTTGTTGTTCTTGTTGTTGTTCTTGTTTAAAAATAAAAAAAGAAAATGAAAAAGAAATGGTAGTAGTGCTCCAGTTTCATGCATATTTATAATACATACATACATAAAGTTTATATTTATTCTATATATCTTTGTAATTTATACCAAAACTGTTTTTTTCTCAATAAAGAGGGTTCAAATAGATTATTGTTTATTATTGTTGTTGTTGTTGTTATGTAATTAGTAGTACTAGTACATAAAAATAAATAAAAAATAAAGAATAAAATGGCAGTGTATTGGTACTGTACTGTAATGCTATAGTATAGTGGCTGCTTTTTTGGATTTGTGATAAGAAATCAATATCTATCAATGAATTTGTAGATATGACAATAACTATTTCAACAGCTCTACATTACTGCATTTTAACTCTTTAATACTTGATGGTTAAAACAACCTCATTAAAGTCGCTTTGGATAAAAGCGTCTGATAAATGACTAAATAAATCAAATTAAATTAAACAAACACTTAAAAAAAATGTATCCCTCATCAAGAAGTGTCACCTGCAAGTTTCTAAAGGCTTTTCTGTCATATGCTGATTTCGAACCCGCGTAGTAGCATACTACTCTTACTATTTTTGCCATAAAAAGATATGCTAAAAATAGAAAGAGTATAGTGTGCAGTTTGGAATTTATGTGAAGAGGCTTTAAGCGCAGCTGTAAGCGCAGGATGAGTCCAGCAGGTGGCGGTAAAGAGACGCGTCTCCTGTAAAACAACGCGAAAAGCCGCCGAAAGAAGAAGCAGTCATATGTCATGGTGAAGGTGGGGTTTGAATTATAAACAAGAGCTGTAACGTTACATAAATGTAGGCCAGCCTGCTGAAAACCGAGCAAAACACTACTTGAAACTAAAGGTAAATACCTTCCCGACTAATATTTAACGTTACCTGTCATAAGTGACAGCGCTGGGCATATTAATGCTGTTTAACAGGCTATTACTGAGCGTTAGCTTTAGCATCAGCTGTCAAGGGTATGTCGTTGAGCTTCTGTCTTCGTATCTCGAGTTTTCTGTTGTTCAAGCCACTGTCTGCAGGATCATTGAACATAAAACATGCTCATCTATCTCCAATGTACAACTCATATCAAATGAAAGAAATGTCCTAGGATTGCATGCTGTATTGCCCCCTGATTGTGCTTCAGTTCAGTCTATGTTGAGTTGTTTTTTGTTGCTTTTGTTTGGTCAGGTGGTCTGTTTGCCGGCATCATGAGTCCAGCTCAATGGGATCTTCCTCCAGAGCTGTGCTGCAGGCCCATGGCCTTTGTAGCACTGACAGGACTGGACGTAGTTTATAATGCCATCCACAGAGCCATATGGGATGCCTTCTGTGCCAACCGGCGGGCAGACAGAGTGCCCATCTCTTTCAAAGTTTTGCCAGGAGACCACGAGTATCCAAAGTGCAGAACCAAGGTGAAACAAAAGAGCTGTGAAACCTTCTAACGATATTCAAAAATGCTTTATGCTCCTTATAAAACATTATTTTAACTCTGGATACTAATGGGCTGTTGTGTGACTGTGTTAGTTTGCTAACACGCTTTCTTTTTTTTGTTAGAGAACATCGTATGAGTGGTACATTCCTAAAGGGATACTGAAGACGGGCTGGATGAATAAACATCTCAACCTGGTGCCTGCACTGGTTGTACTGTTTTATGAGCTGGACTGGGACGATCCACAATGGAAAGAAAAGCAATCAGAATGTGCAACCAAAGTGGAAATTGTCAGGTATAGTTTTATGAAAAGGTCACAATTCTTGATTTGGTAGTGTTATTAAACTATTAAAAATAGTTATTGGTTATTGAAATAAAGCTGATATATAATATAAATATGAATAAATTAATAGATTATAAACCTAAACTTAATTTTTTTAAGTCAAACAAATAATTTGAAGGACTAAAATGAAAAAAATAGAAAAGAAAAATATTATTAATAAAATAAAAATAAATTTAATTTAAATAGAAATATTTAAAAAAAAGACAAAAACTAATATAAATGACAAGCACATATAAAAGTTACTCAAATTAAAAATATAAAAATAAAAGCTAAATTATTAATAAATACTATAATAGTATGTTAATAATGTTTAAATAAAACAGGAAGATAGAAATGCATTGTTTAATTTTGTGACAGAATCCAAAATTCCTGACTGAATAGATATTAGGACACATCCTAACAGGTGTTTTTTTTATTTTAGTTTGTTGTTTGCTGCTCTGAGATATATTTATTTCTCACAGGACAAGTTTACAAGGAAGAAACACGAAAGTCGCTGTTGTTTTGATACAGAAGAAAACTCCTCTCCCACCAGGTATCACAAAACTGAAGTCCATGTTTCAGGAACTTCAGTATGATGGGTGTAGATGTTGATGGGTGAAGATGTGGTTGTGTCTCAGGTGAAGATCTGGTGGCATCTGAGAGGGCTTCTGCTCTATGTGGTGCCTGTGACCTGTCTGGGAAATCCCTGTTTGTCCTGCCCCATACTGACCACCTGGTGGGATACATCATTAGGTTAGAGTCTCTAGATGTAGAGTGTGTTCTTTATGCCTGAATGACCCAATCAGATCTGTCTTTGTATGTGGTATCCAATAACAAATATGCAGAACTAATATTTACTTAATGTTTGCTTTTATTTTGCAACATGGATGTAAGCTGTTTTCTGTGAATGTGTGAGACTTCTGATTAATTTCCTGGGACAGCTAAATAACTAGAAGAATAACAAAGTGCTGTGAACAGTAAAACAATTTGCACTACAAAGCAGTGTGTTTATAAATACGATGATAATTTAAAATAAAATGTTATGAAATATTTAAGTTTGCGATATCAAGCAGCGTAACAGACAACTTGAAGCAGATGACACCAGAGCCTCACACGCTCAAGTTACAAATGGCCGCACTGCTCTTTTACGTAAAAAAAAGGTTAATGCTGCCTCAATCACAGCCTAGATTACATGACAGAAAGTGACTGACTTGCATCTTCACACCTTACAGTTTTGTGTTTGCATGCCTGCAGGTTGGAAAATGCATTCTACGAACATGCACAGACCTACTATTATAATGAGATCAGGAGAGTGAAATCTCACAAGGAGTTCCTCAATAAAACTACACACCAGGTAACCAGGAGCCCAAATGCAATGAATAAAACCTGAATTTCTTCAAAATGACCTTTTAATCTTTGTGCAAGCGTGTGAAGTTCCTAACACTCAAAACGAGGCATTACATCCAGTGTGAAAAGCAGGAAATTGAAAGAAATTAATTCAGGAACACAGTTCTCAGCTTCTTTTGAATGCATAGCCTACTTGAAGAATATGACATGCAGTTGCCTCATTGTTATTTTTTTATTGTGGCTCTTTGTTTATTAGTCAACTGTTAAGTGTGAAAA